TATTTTAAAATAAATTTTAAATTATTATAGTTTGACCAATTTTTACTTAAATTCTTTGAAATTTTTATGTATCACGTAATATATTATAATAAACAACTTTACTTATAAAACTGAAGTTATATTTATTAATAAAAATAAAGTTTACTTATATCCAATTTTATCTAATTAATTTAGTAATTTGCATAGTGTTTGGATACTTTTGTTCTGTGTGTGTATATATGTTGATATATTATTATCCCTTAAATTATAAATATAAAATTGATTATAAAATATTTTAATATCCAATATTATAAAAAAATGAAATAAAGATTATTAGATTTATCATATTAAAATATATTTAATAATTATATTTTTAAATTTTTAAAATTAGTAATTATTAATATATATCAATTTTTAATTTTTTAATTTTTAAAAATAATATATTATGTAATAATTATTTAAATATAAAATTCAGTTTATTGGATTCTTCTCATTAAGACCTATTAAATGATAACATTTTTATATTTTAAGATTAATCAATAGCAAGATATATGAATTTAAAATTTTTTAATAATAATTTATTATTTATTTACCTTTAAAAATCACTAATTAATTACATTTTTTTTTTTTAATTTTTACTTAGAAAATATCATTAAATTTATTATAAAAGTATTAATTTTTAATAAATATTTAAAATATTTAAAAATAATTAAAAATGATTTTAATTTATAAATAAAATTGCCAACAAATTTGTAGACAAATCAATTAGAAGGATAGCATTATAGCTTATTTTTGTTTGTTATATATTATTTAAATAGAATTTAATTATTATTAATTATATATATTTTATATTACTGAAATTTAATCACCCTTAATATTCATTTATGTTATATTCTTTCAATTTTAAGTATCATACTTATATTTTTTAATAATATATAAATTTAAATATGATAGAATAAAATGAATCATATTCTATCTAATACCCGTTCTTAATAGTTAAAATCAATACGTATAAATATTTATTTAAAGGTCCTTCTTTAGATTTTTATTTTATATATTAAAATTTTATATTATATCAAAATTATAAATATATTTGACAAGCTTAAATAGTATGTATCATATGGCAAATAATCAATTATACCAGTTGACGATGAGTTGATAACGATGTTCAGATAAGATCGTAAATAATATCATCGAACCGTATAGATAATAAATCTAAATTCGAATTTAAAGGATTAGATAAGGAATTGCAATTCGTTCCTTCGGCGCAGTGTGTGCAATTGGCCGTGGAAAAAAGATTTTTGGCCGTTGGCCAACGGCAAATGAACAGAATGGCCAAAATGGCCAAAAAAACGGCCAAAACGACCATCGCTTAAATAATCGATAAGAATTGATATTTAGTTGGCATTTGGCCGCGGCCAAAAGAAATTTTGAACATTTGCCGGAGGTTGGCCGTTGGCCAAATGCCAACATTTTTCGGCGTGTCTAATTTAAATTAATGTTTAAAAATTCATAGGTAGTATTAATATTAATTCTAGGTTTTGCCTTTTCTTAATTGATTTTTACTACATTGTTTGTTCTTTATAAATTATTAACTTTGCTCAATTCTAAGTCTTATAAAAGTTACGGGCGGTAATATGAATTCTATATAAGATTATATGCAATTTTCATTATGGATGTTATTTTCGTCGCAACAATGTTTTGAATTTAGAGAACAAACGATAATCCCATTATATATATATATTTAGCACAAGTAATCATTAATTTTTTTATTATGCATAGAGGAATATATTTTGTCAATTGTGAATTTTTCGTGTTTTTTAAAATTTTTTGAAGTAGCAAGCCAAATATTGAATTTCATAACTCTATATGAAGTCGTTCGAAGCGGTCAGTGTTGATTACAAAAGTTAAACTGAAATCAAAATCGAATAAGGTTTAATTGGTTTTCAGATTTCAAATTAAAAGTGTAATTAGAAGCAGATGAATAAGAACAAAAAGGGATTTTTTTGATTCTAGAAATTATGTGGAGGGGGGAAAAATATCATTATTAATTACAAACGTAGAAAAATTATAAATTATATTTATAGACCATTATTATAAAGAAAAAATCACTCTGAAATAATCTTTAAAGAAAAAGAAACTAACAACTTCGAGCCAAGCATGCATTTTTTTGACGTTCTTTCTTGTCAACTTTTGAAATACGATCCGACTTTCGAAATAACCCAATTCCATCGAACTTTTTAATCCACCTTTTTCTTTTTTCATTCAGGATAGTTATATTTCCAATCTGTTCTTGATTGTCAGTTTTTTGATTTAAATCTCGTGTAAAATCATTTTGTTGATTTATATCTTCATTTATCACAAGTTCGTCTGTACTTTCTGATTCATTAGCCTGGTTTGATTTCTCACTTAATTGAATTTGATATTTTGTGGAAATTTTCTCATCATCTTCAATTGCGATTTGTGGCTCATGAACTTGAGTTATTGAGAAAGAATTGTAACTGAATAATTCTTCATCTGACATGGGAATATGTTCTATGGGAGTTGATATGATTTCCGAATCAGATGCAATTTGTTTTGAATCTGATTGTAATCGATCAGCTTCATCGTCATGAATTTTTATGGCATCATAGTTTATCTATAAAAAAAATTAATATATATATATTTTTAATAAATCTCTTAAAAATAACAAGTTTGATCAAATACTGTACATAGCATAACTGGTAAATCAATCTGGTCATCTTTTTGATGAAGCTGGATTTGACCAACGGTAGATTCATCAACTTTAAATACAGTTGATAAACTTTGCGATTCATCAGTTTGATTTAATGAAGTTAACCCATATAATTCGAACATAGATTCTTGTGAATTTAATTCCTGATTATCTTCTTCATGAGTTTGGTTTTCACTATCTCTTATCTATAAAGTTTTTTTTGAAAGAAAAAAAAAAGGTTTAATAGATTCATTGTTTGTATATTCAACAAGCGAATAATCAATAATACACACTTCAACATTTTCCGAATCACGAATTCTTCTCTCAAATTCATAGAGTTGATTCATGAAACTTCTGTTTGGTTGGATTTGTGGTCTTATTGATCTTGCATAACTAAATGCTTGATCAAAACTTCTTCCAATATATATCAGGTAAGCGATTATTAAACTACCAGATCTGCTTATCCCTTTATAGCAATGAACCAAGACACTTTGATTGCTATGAATTATACGTTCAATGTATTTTACCGCAACCTAAAGTTTTTAATTTATACTTAATACAATAACAAGAATTTAAAAAATAAAAAATTATCAAATTTACCAGGAGAAAGTCCAAAATATTTGAGCTTAATGCATCTGGTACATCTAAAAGGATAGGAAAAAAAAATGAGTTTTTTATTTAATATCAAATAAAATTTAAAAAGTCAATCAAAAAATAAAAAAAAGATCCTTGCAAAAGTTTAGATAGATTGGTCTAGACCAATTATATTTTTGAATTAGATGATCGTCTATTAATTCATCCTTATGAAAATAATTTTGTCCCGGGCTTAAATTTATAATGTACTTGATATTATTTTCAGCAAGCAAGGTTTGACTTGCAGCTGTTGTAACATTTGAAATAAAGAGGTGCGGTAAAATTTGGTTCGGTTCCATTGCATGACCTTTCATTAATCGATCTATACCATACAAAGTAACATAATCCACGCTATCCTAATTTATTTTTTTTAAAAAATTGAGAATTTCATCAAATTAAAATTAGAATCACAATACATAAAATATAATAAGGATGGCTTACATTTGAAGGCTTTTGATATTCCGGAAAAGGAGGAAGTCCTTCAAAGATATCGTTAGGTGTATCTTCCATTTGAGTGCTTAAATAAAGAAAGGTAACAATACTTGGTTAGAATATTACTAAGAACTATTTCTAAAAGAATAAACCACTTTGAAATCTTGACAACAAATTAAACAAGGTAGAAGAGAGTGGAATGAAATCGAAACAGATATCAATTATTTATGTCAGAATGGCTTTGATCTGAGTTAAAACGATGCCGATGATGATCTTATCCAAAATTGATGATTTCTTTGATATTTCTTCAGCCCAGATATGAAGTTAGATACTTGCAAGAAATATGAATAACTTCTTGATAACTACGACGCCAATATTTTATTACTAATTACTGGTTGTGCTTGGAAGATAAATTTCTTTCAAAATATTATGAGTATGATTATTCATTTTCCCAAATAATCCAAATATTGACGCGAGCTAATTGCTCTTTTTTCTTTTCTTTTTGTCAAAAGAAAAGTTCTAGTGTATTAACAAATTTCTTTAAAACAAGAGGAATTTCCTATGATCTTAGTTTTATTCTTTCATTATCACGTATTCCCATGAAATATATTGTTTTCTTTAAAGAAAAAAATCATTAAATATAATACAGGCAACTCTCTCAATAACGAACTAACGGTTCTGTTAGAAAAAAATTTTATTATATAACTATTTTTTTCTATATGATCCATTAAACTTTTATAACGAATTATTATTAAAATTTAAAAATTTTGAGTTCGTTATTTTCAGAATTCGTTATAAAGAGGTTCGTTATAGAAAGAGTTGAATGTAGTCATAATAAGTCAAAAAATATTGTAAAATTTTACCTGCAAAAAAAAAGGTACTTGAACGTAAAGAGAGAGGTTTTTTTTTGCAGATCATTATTTATAAAGAATTTCATTGGTTTATTACTTTTGGAGGGAAATTTTTTTCATTGGATTGATTTTTTATTTATTAAAAAAAATAAACTTTAAATTTATTACCGAATTCCCAAATTGAAACGTTGAAATAATCAAAATCATCAAACTTAACATAATTCAATGACTACTCGCTTTTGCCGCCAGTCCATAATTTGTATTATATTTAGGTTGAAATTCCTTATAAAATAATAAATTCTATTGTTATTAATAATAAAAGATTTGCCCCCCCCCCCAACAAATAAATAAACCTTGGAATGATCATAACATCGTGTGCGATAATTACCAACATGGTAAATAAAGTAAATAGAATATCTCATTAGTGATAAGATATACGAATAAATAATTAAATATAATAGAATTACTAAGTATTCTTATTACGTTCATACTTAGCATTTCTTACGAAAGGATTTAGTGAGCTTCTACAAGATTTACCTACGTTGTACCATCGATGAATGAATATTAACCAAAGAATATCGTATTTAACAAAATTTTCCAGAAATCATAATCATGATTTTTTTTTTGAACGCGCAAAGCTATTAAGAATTTTAAATAAAAGTCTTTTGATTCTTTTACGAGGAACGATTATTGTGTCCCTTTGTTACTTTATCTGATAGCATTTCGTCTTTAGGTCTGAAAGTATAAAAAAATTATCTAAAAATAATAATATTTTTATTTAATTTGCAAATTTTTTTTTTATTAAAAAAATAAAAAATAAAGACGACTTTTACTAATTATATAATAATTATTATTATTTTCATTATCTTACAATTTTATATTGCTATAGTTACTGACAAAACTTTATTTGGTATGTCATTTCTTATTACGTAAATAAAGTAACATGAATCACATGATTTTTGAAATAACGCGTCTCAACGTTCTCTTATAAAATAGTAGTGCTGTCTTTTTTTAATAGTCAACCCTCTCCACAAATGCACACACTATAAATTTTTTGTCCCAAGTACTCTTTAAATGAACACTCTTTAAATACAAATTTTCACTATGGTCTCAAGGGGGTGCATTTAGAGAGGTTTGACTGTACTTAGAATATTTAAATTTTAGCAGAATCAGTAGAACCTTACAACCATGTATAAGCTAACAATTTCTACTAAAGCAATAGAAGAAAAAGACGCTCTGAAAATACAAAACAGGGCAACTCATCAAATATTTGCAGAAGAAAAAATATTATGACATCAGTCATGACATAATTTTTGGTACCTGCGACAAGAAACTTAAAGCTCTTCCCTGGTATGTTATAGCCTTATAAGTTCTGAGTTATGGATCTGTTTTGTAATATAGCTTAGTGGAATTCCTTTTTTATCATAGTACTTGAAGAATGAACAACTGGAAAGTTCCTTATATAAATTAACCTTTCCTTACAAACCTGGTAAATTTTTCATTATGACACTTGGATGCTTAAAAGCGCAAACAAAAGATCAGCCTATATAACATTTAATATAAGGTTATCAAGAATTTTTTCAAGAATTCCATAATTTTACCCAAGAACTTTTGAAAGAGATAGGTTTTATATATTTAATTTGATTTATTAAATGATATGTATTTGAGATGATGCTTTTTTTGTCAGGCTTTTACGCCTTGTTTTCTACATATCAACCAAGGGTATTCTGCAATTGCTAAATTTGGTTGTGTGACAATACTTACATACTGAAAATCATAATAGAGGTGTAGTCCTCTGCATCTGAACTTTTTCAGGTTTCTTGAACACCTGATAACTTAAAAAGAAAATGTTGGGATTGTTTTATATTTCAATTATTCTGATCTAACATAATTGTTTTTTATCTCTAAAAAGTCTAATAAATATGCAGATGTGAATAAATCAGCAGAAAAAACAGAAAAGCATGAACACTATAACTGGATTAGATTGACGAATGTGATGCAGTATGTTGCAGATCTAAATATCAAACATATCAAATATATTTGACATATAAGATATATTTAATATGTCTGACATAACGGATATACTAGACATATTAGATATATTTGATTTATTTATTATATCCATCTATGTATTAAATTTAATATAAATAGAAAATAATAAAATCATGTAAATTCTAGTTCGCTTCTAGTTTACTTTTAGTTTATTTTTAGTTTTTCTTTTAGTTTACTTTTAGATATATATTTAGTAGCGCTTTTAGAGGCACTTAGTCTAACCCTTACACTTAGTACTTTTCGTCTTTTAGTTTTTTTATCTCCTTCATATTTCATATTTCATATTTCTTATTTTCTTAATCTTTTTATTTTTTTATTTCTTCATTATTTCTTATTACAAATAAACATATTTTTATAAATCTAAATCAATTGAGCTGTCTTACTTTTAGTATTATTGATAGTATCTACTGTGTAAATTATAAAGCTTAGGTTAAACTACATTGAATACATTGAGATTTACTACGTAAACTTAACTATTGCAATTCATAAGAATTGCACGTTAACAGTTGGTAATAATTATAAGACCTTCTTTTCTTATTTACATATAAGAAACACTCTATGAACAACTTTAAAGAATTAATAAAATACTAATGAAACCATTCAGCTATACATAATAGGCAAGAACATAACTTTAGAAAATCTACTGGCAATTTCTCTTTGATAGATAACTCATCTTATATCGCTTATAATCCACTCTCTAAGGAAATCCCACAACCTTTCCTTAACTTCTTTGAGTAAGCACAAAGGTCTTAGGGGCATCATTATATACTAGCAAAAGTTTAGAAGCCTTCTAAATTGCAAACGCTGCAGAAATCACCAGTATACAAGGAGTATACTACAGATAGACACTTAATACCTTTATATATAAAAATGTATTCATACCAATCTTTGAGCGAGCAGTTATCTATTATACTTGAGCTCAAACTGAAACTGATTTCTTTTAAAAGAAATTTCAAGGTGATTTACTTATCTATCTCAATATATCACTTGTAAATCCAAGTCATAACTCTTCTCCTTTTAGAATGACTAGACCTTCATGAACAACCACTCTCAAAAGTAGTGATATTCCTAAATTAGCTAAAGAAAATCTCTCATCTCTTCAAGAAAACTACCCACCTGAAGAGACCATAATTACTAATATCACTCCTAGCTAGAGCTCTGAATCAGATCAGGTCGACCTGTTTATCTGACCTGAACTGACCTGAAAATTCAAATCAGGTCATTAGATTTTCAGGTTAATGTCAGGTTGAGTCAACAGGTCGAACTGACCCGACCTGACCTAATAAAAATTCAGGTCAATCAATCATTCTTCTTGAATAATTTATTATCATTAAATTAGAAATAACAAAGTTGATTAAATAAATTAATAATTGTTTA